CTCTCTCTCTCTCTCTCTCTCTCTCTCTCTCTCTCTCTCTCTCTCTCTCTTATGATCCTGTTTGTCTCTCCTTCCCCGTTCTTGAGCATGACTATTGCGTGTGAGACTGCCAGTAACTGCCTCTCTCTCTCAGTCTCGATGACCTCCCTCTTTCGACTCGCGCTGACCTCTCTCTTTGCGTCTAGTGGCCCCGGTCTCTTCTCTGTCTCGAGTTGGCCTCAGGGCCACTTTCCACAGGCTCGACGGGCGGGTGATCCCGTCGCCACTGGCCTAGACCGTGCCAGGATGGGGTCGTGGCCTCTAAATCGCTTGCCTCGCTTTCTGCCTCCGGATCGTGGTCCAAATGCTGCTGTTCTCGCTCCGCTGTATCCATGGATGTCTCCTGCTCATGGTACACTATTTTCACTTTTATGTCGTCTGTTACGCTGTCTCTTCTACACTTCCTCTCCGCTCGGTCTTTAGCCTCTGTAATCGCCATCTGCAGACGTTGATCTACCCTCATTTCATCCTCTTTACCCTCCTCGACGTTGATTCTTATCCTCGCCTCCTGATTACAGCGGCTGTAATCCAGGATCGCGGTTACGGTAGGCCCTTCCTCAGTCATTCGCTCCCACCTCCAGATAAACTGGAGGTACCTAGGCATGTAGCCGTACAGTAAGCTGCTCAGCACCATGGATACAATCTCACGGCCTATAGGGTCACGACACTCGATGCACACGCACTCAGCCAGCTCCCTCTTCCCCGCGAACACCACTCCTCACTTCTGGCTCAGTCCGCCAATCACTAGCACGTCGAAAGCCTCTGAACGCCTCGCTCAAACTCTAACCGAGGACCCATTTGTCTCCCCCCTTTATAGGCTTGCCTCTCATTCCAACCTACCCCACGTTCTAGACGAGAAATTCAAATAATTGATAAAATAATTAAATCAGTTAATCTATAAGGAAAATTGGAGAAACGAAGCTCAACGGTTGGAGCACGAGCCAGACACACCGTGTTATTGTTAGTCACTAACTCGGATGATGTGACTACCGGCCTAAGGCGGTGGACCCATAACGGGATACCGACCGGCAGCCTCTCTTCTCTAAAGAGGATCATCGGACTACAGCTAATGGGTACCCATGTCCGACGCACACAACAGGAAGGGATTTGCTCATTTAATTTATTTTATTTTATTTTATTTATTACAAACAACTACAAAATCCTGCGTGACACCCTGTTGGCTTTCTGGTCGCCTGTAGAGGACCGACTAGAAAAAGTGCGACAGCATGTGACCCGAGGTTGTGGGCAGTGTGAGCGCGTGAGCGCTATCGCGCTTACCTGCGGCGCGGGCACAAAAAAAAAATGGGGTCCAAGTTTCGCGACATACCCATCCTGACTCGTCTAGGCTCGGAGGAAATCCTAGTTGACTTGGTCGTATGCTTTTAGAAATCGAAAAAAGGAATGGCCGCTGAGATCTTCTTTTGGTTGATAAGCTTGGTGGATTCGCAGAGTGACATTACATTGTCCGATATGAACCTTCCCGCCATTCCTGGGATACATCTTGTTTGATCTAGATGGAAGCGACCTCGTGTGATCCGGTTTATTCTCGTTGCCAGTAGTTTGACTCTGTGTTAGTCCCCGGGCGGCGCGGCTGGGGGAAGGTCGCCCGGGTACCCTCTCGGGCAGGGTCCCGGGCGATCCCAGCGCATAATATTTAAAAAAATAGAAAATAAATAAAATTAAAAAAATCCGAAAATAAATGAGAAAACATGAGTCCAAATGTACCTTTTAAGCCCTTTAGTCACTGTTTATGCCCCCCAAACCCCCCTGGATGACCCATCACCAAAACCGAAGTTAAGACCGGATTCTGACTGCTTAGGCCAAGCGCAGTCCTGGCCTGAAGTCCTTTTTTTGGGGGGGGAGGTCCTTGTCTCTTTTTTGACCCGTCTGGTTTTGCCGGGCGACTCCCCCTCTGCCCAATTGGCCCGGGCGTGCCGGGCCGGGCGACGGCTCAAGGTTTAACTAGGATTTTGTATGCTACATTAAGTAATAAGTAGAGAGATGGGTCTATAGTTCTTTATGTCCTCTCTGTTTCCTTTTTTGTATAGCAGTGTTACCACTCCCGTGCTGAGATCCGGGCCCAGGGATTCCTTTTCCCAGGCACTGTTGAGGAACCTGAGTAGAAGTGGGCCGAGAATGTGGAGATCTGAGTTGTTTAACGAACAGGACACATCTAAGAAGTTGTTGCCTATCTACTATGGCCCACGGCAGGTTTTAGACAAAGTATGTGCTGATCCGTTCGATCCCTCTTATGTGCTGGCCTTACCTGCGCATCTAAAGACCTATCCGGTCTTCCATGCATCCAAACTGCTGCCTTTCACACCAGCTGATGCATTTCCAGACAGGCCTCCTCAGTCTGGCCCTCCCATTCCTGGGAAGGGGTATGAAGTTGAGAGCATCGAGGACCAATGGGGTACAGGCTTTGACTGTGAATGTCTTGTGATGTTTTACTTCCGACCACACTATGAAGACAAATGGTTTACAAGGAAGGAACTTCTCAAGACTGCAAAGTATGTTGTCTTCTTTCATGAGGCTGCACAAAATGGACAACCACCCAGACGTTCACCTCGTGGGCACTCCTAGCTCGGGGTCCTCGCTGCCCGGGATGGTAGGAATGCAATGACCTTGCAGATTCTCAGCGATCTGTAACACTAGTAGGCCCATTTTGGTCATTTTCTTATGTTTCAGGCCCTAACTGGTAACTGACACAGCCTGAGGCCCGATGTGGACTTATCTGCAAAATACTGATTTCCCAGGCCGTACCTTTCGCCTGGTACCAGGTACCGCAATTACTGGAAAGGCGCAGGCCCGTTCGGTTTGTAGACTGCTAGGTCGGGTCCAGAAGGCCGAAGGTAAATGTAAACAGCTTAGTGTCAATAGAGGTCGGGTTCTTTTGTCTTTCGGTATGAGGGGAAACTCTGTCACGTTGGCGATTGGCACTGCTGCACTAAGTGCCATCTCGCTCCATCTTCTTTGAGGGAACAGCCATAGGTGGTGGCTGGGAGGTTTGCAGAGGGCCGCGCTGGAGAAGGTCTCCATGCGCTGTGGGTGTTTTGCCATAGGTGTGCTGTTTGGGGTTCGGTGCTGCTATGTCTTCTATGTGTTGGCAGCGGTTTTCTCTTCATAGACGTTGAGTGTCTTTTCATCTGGATTGCCGGCGCTACTCCACTGGTTGGGCGCTATCAGATTCCAGGATAAATGTGATTCTGTTTGGTGCTTGTTCTGGGAAGGTCGCTGGTTGGTCTGCAGGGTTTGTGGGGCTGGGCGCTGCATTAGAGGGTTGCCATAGCCAGGGTTGGAGGTGAAGCAAGACCCCACAATAGTTCAATGAACTCTTGTTCTGTGTTGTTTGGGGTCGTTGAAACACGGTTGTTGATCCTTGAAATTTTGTAATTGATTGACTGGAAGAGGAAGAGGAATTGAGAATTGGATTTCTCATTCAACTCTAATTTTGGGCTGTGAGCTTTCACTGAGCATTTCTCTCTGGTTTGGTGTGGAATTGCATCTTCCAAGTCTGCTTCAGAATTGCATGCGTGTATGGGAACGTGCGAGTTGATGGTGGATTGCAATTCAATCAGTTACATAACACTTCTCTGTCCCTCAGTGACAGTAGGTACTCGGTTTGAGAGGGGGCATTCTATTAAATAGAGATGTATCTCTGTTTAATGTTTATCCCTGAGTATGCGACGCATTCATGTACCGAAGAGGACTGAAGATGGATGACTTCAATCCAGAAATTAACAACAGACCGAAGGAGCTTCTAGACCTTCACCCCGAACAAACCCCACCCTACCTTGGAACAAGTACCAATCTCTTCAACCGATCCGCTTTGATAGCCTGGAATGGCTTATTGCCTCTGCCGCCATCCCATTTCATAAATTGTAATTGTCACATGAAAGAAGGAAACCCACGCAGCACAGAGCTTTATAAAATTTTGCTCTGACCAGCTGAGTGAAAATCTGGTCTGCTGCCTACTCTCATTCACTAAAGCAATCTGGTACTGAGGTAGAAGGACCTGCATGTTCCTTACAGTGCTTTCGGATGGTGGTTCCAATTTCAATGACAGATTTCTTCTCAACTGGCCTGGGTGAAGATTGGGGTCCTCAGGGGACTGCACACCGCATGCAGATTGCCGTGGTCGTGCTCGGAGGCCTTTTCCCTGTACTTCTTGCAACAGAGCCCATAGTTCACTTCATCAATCTTTTGGGCAGCGAGCTAGCTCGTTCCAATGGGTATGTGCAACCAAGCCATCATCCTCCATCCTGTCGATCGTTAAACTTCCGGGAACAAAAAGGAAGAAATGATATCAAATCAATTTGAATTTTGAAAAATCATGACTGGAAAAACAAAACAAAACAAACAAACAAACAAACAAACAAACAAACAAACCGAAAAGAAATAAAAGATGTCAAACAAAAAAAGGGAATGTCAACAAACAAAGGTGCACCATGCACAGGTTGACAGAAATGGCTGTGACATGGGATTTGGCGGCTGAAGGAGGGGGTGGATTTGACTAGTGAAGGTGTATTTACAGGGACAGAAGCAAAGTTCCGCATTTCGAAGTTTCGAGTTTGAAATTACTTCCGTATGTCCAGGGACAGAAAAGAAAAGAATTTTTTCAGACGTCCAATCGGCAGAGTTGAGCTCCATAAAAGTTGAAAAAGCTTGAAATTGCTGCTTCCTTCCCAGTCTCTTGTCCCTTGTCCGTCATTTCCCCTCCCTTGCAGACAGTCCTGCCGCCCAGTTTACTGACCGCGAATGGGAATAAATTTCCGCCAAATTAATTGAAATTTGAAAGTTATGTGAGTGGATTATGGAAAAGACTCACGCAGGCTGGCTTGTGGAAGAAACTGACAGGTGAGGAGGAATGGAGGTGGGAGTGGAGAACACTCATACTGGGCTGTAGGCGGGAGAGAGAAAAGAAGTTTCAGAAAACATGGGCAAGATGTTGGGGGGGATTACAGTATTATGGGCAATCTAGATGACACGGTATGGAGGCCGGTTGAGGTTCCTAACTCAAATTCACACAAAATTCAATAGAACACAAACATCTTTCTCAAACTCGAATATGTTTACGCAACGAAGTTACAAAACTCATATAAGGCATTCTAACCAAAGCAGTTAAAAAAAAAAAAAAAGGAGGACAAAGTTGAAAGTTCCAACAAACAGTAATACCAAATATCTTTGAGCATTCGCTCCAAAGCGTTTCCACTGTGCCGACATAGCCTTGTCAGGGGAACTATTCCTCCACCAAGTTTATGCCAACCCTTCCGGACAAGACAGTGCAACAAATATCTTACCACAGTCATCTGTGGAAAAAAGAGGTCGACTCAAACAATTGAAAGGCTTATTATACTAACTACCGTCTTCACCCGAATAGAACGCCCGGTCGTTATCGCTGCATCTGGACTCAAAGTTTGGCCAAATGCAGCGATAATGACCGGGGCGTTCTATTCGGGTGAAGACGGTAGCCTACGTTCTACAATAGTACCTTCAAACATCGGTCAACTGGAAAACTCTTCATCTGACAACAGATCTGCGGTCAACCGCCTTGCTGTGGTATTATGAGAAGTTATTGAGAACCTTCCCCGAAAATGTGTCCGGGTACCTTTTGGCCTTGAACCCCGAGGGTTGATTTCTGTCTATCCGATGAAGCCATCCAGTGACCAAGGCAACCTTTGCTCCTTACTGGACCAGGACGGAAAATCCTGTCCCGTATGAATCACCAAAGTCCCACTGTTAGAGCGTTTTCTCATTGTTACGCTCTGGAAATTGCTCAGGTACAGATACTCTGGCTGTACTGCCAAGGTGTGTGCAGCAGAGAAACTCCGAGGTTGTTACAGACTCCGCCAGGGCTCGATCCCTGGTCTATCTTTTGCTGTTTCAGCTGCATCCCGTTTTCAGCCTGGCACCCTTTTTCCAAACCCCTCCTTTGGTACCGTAGGATTTTGGACAACTGGCGCCATGCTGCAATTCGGGCGCCACTTTCAAATACTGCATTTTTCAGTTCTGCCCTCGGGGCCTTTGCAGAAATGCCCCT